ATGCATATATATAATTGGCTCCTGATCCTTGATGTTTTGGATGAATATGAATCACCCAAAAATTCCTTTTGTAGCCTCTCTTGCTAGTTCCAAACGAATCCAATGAAAAAATGAGGTATTGGATGATTTCTCAATCTTCTAAAAAAATTTTTTATTTAAAAAATTTCAGAGTTGTCACAATCTCTGATTCTTTTTGGGAAGAGAAACCCTAGAAAAAACTTTTGGGAGGGGGAGTAGGATACCCCATGGGTTTCTTCGTTTTCTCCCTTAAAAGGGGAAAATCACTCTAATGGCCCTTATCTTAGGGCAATTTTCCCACCCTCAGGCAAGGGGTGATTTAGGCAGGTGCCTAGGCCTAGGTGCTAAGTGCTGCCTGGGTGGCTGCCACCCTAGAAGGGCAGCCTAGGCCTAGCACTCTGGCCCCCTAGGCAGTGGAGGCGGTTGCCTAGGCAGAAGTTAGGCCGTTTTTGGCATTTATTTTCGGAATGTCTTTGTTCTTCTGATTATGAAAAAATATACACTATGTTTGCATGGCTAGGAAGAATGTGGGAAATTGATGCTTGACTATGGGAAAATGTTTGATAGAGCTGCGACCGTATCAAAATATATGAAGCCTCACCACAAAACTCATAAAAATTTGTAGTTCTGGCGTCGGAAAACCTTCAAATCGATAATCTCGGGCTTGATCATTATGGATGTGAAAAAAAACTAGGATTTAAAGCCCTAAAAATAGTGTATATGTTAACACATTATTTTACCATCCATTTCGCCCTAGACATAAGTTTTCATGGATCTGCAAGATTTGTACCATTTTTTGAGCTTCAAATTTCATAGTCGGTGTTGGAAATTGATTTTAGAGTCGTCATGGAGAATTCCAACGCCCAAAGTGCTTTCTGGATGGGGATTGAACGTGAGGCATTACTTTGTTTTTATATAGCCTAGGACTTACTCTTAACTGCATCCTATACGCTAAGCCAACACATATGCAGATTTACAGTTTGCTGTAAACTCTTTCATTTGTGCTGACTAGCATGTGTTATGGTATTTGTGGTCAAAACTCTTCTTTTATATGATAGAATGATCTAAGAAATATCAGGGGTCTTTCAGTTTAGTCACTGGTACTGATTGAGTTTTATGCCACAAGTCCATGGGAAGAACTGGTTGCAGTCTTTGAGCTGAAGGATTTTATTATACTTGGCTTGCACAAACATCTCTGTGTATGATTGCACACATGCACGTCTGTGATGCTGGTTTATTTAGTTTTAGTTTGAACAATCTATCCCCTCTCTCTCTCTCTCTCTATAGATTTTGCAATCTATGTCTAATTCATGAGTGTTTTATTCTTCTTATTCTGTTATATCTTGATTTTTGTATTGAGATAATAAACTCATTCAGTTAAATCTTCCTGTGCAGCAGCCTGTAAAGCCGGATACTTCATCCGAACCCAAGCGCAGCAAAGTCGAAATAATCAAAGAGCATAGCAATTTCCTGAGATACCCTCTTAATGAGGAGTTGGAAGCAGAAGCCCCGAATGTAAATGAGGCTGCCACCCAACTGATCAAATTCCATGGAAGCTATCAACAAACTAACCGTGATGAACGTGGAATAAAGAATTATTCTTTTATGCTCAGGACTAAGAACCCATGTGGTAAGGTCCCCAATAAGCTCTATTTGGCAATGGATAGCCTTGCTGATGAGTTTGGAATTGGCACCCTTCGGCTAACAACTAGACAAACATTCCAATTACATGGAATTCTAAAGCATAATCTCAAGACAGTGATGAGCACCATAATTAGAAATATGGGGTCAACCCTTGGAGCTTGTGGTGATCTCAACAGAAATGTTCTTGCCCCTGCAGCTCCATTTATGAGAAAAGATTACTTGTTTGCTCAGGAGACAGCCGAACACATAGCTGCACTTTTGACCCCTCAATCAGGTGCTTATTACGATTTGTGGGTTGATGGGGAGATGATCATGTCGGCTGAGCCACCTGAAGTGGTAAAGGCTAGAAATGACAATACCCATGGGACGAACTTTCCAGGTTCTCCAGAGCCCATTTATGGGACCCAGTTTTTGCCAAGGAAGTTTAAGGTTGCTGTTACTGTACCAACTGATAATTCAGTGGATATCCTCACTAATGACATTGGCGTTGTGGTGGTTTCTGATGCTGATGGGGAACCGCAGGGCTTCAATATTTATGTATAACTCACTCCTTATCTCTTTGTTTTTTTTTAGAGTAGCATATTTGTTAAGCTAAAGGGCCTTTCTAAGGAATTTGAATGACCAAATACCATGACAATATTGTGTATAGCCATGTTAATGGGCATTATGAATTATTTTTTGAATTCTAAAATTGCATTGTTAACCCAATAGCTGGAGTTTTTATTCCTTTTGAGCTGTGGTAATTTTTTTTTTTTTTTTCTGAATTCGTTGAGTTGGATTTATGCTTTGGTTATTTGACTATAATTGGTGGGGCTTGATGGGCATATGGGCGGGCAGGTTGGAGGTGGTATGGGAAGAGCACACAGGATTGATACCACATTCCCACGATTAGGTGAACCTCTGGGCTATGTTCCGAAAGAGGATATACTCTATGCTGTGAAAGCAATTGTGTGCACTCAGCGAGATAATGGTAGAAGAGACGACCGAAGATATAGTAGAATGAAGTACCTAATAAGTGAATGGGGAATTGAGAGGTTCAGAAGCGAAGTCGAGAAATATTATGGGAAAAAGTTCCAGCCATTTCAAGAGTTACCGGAGTGGGAGTTCAAGAGCTATTTGGGGTGGCACGAGCAGGTAATTTGCTCGAGTTTGTTTAGTTTTAGATTTAGCAGGGTTATTTAGTTATGTTTTTCATGTATCTCTCTCTCTCGCTACTTTTTTGTCTCTGTGCTATTTTGCCAGGGCAATGGGTCACTATTTTGTGGCCTCCATGTTGATAATGGGCGTATTCAAGGGACAATGAAGAAGACATTGAGGGAGATAATTGAGAAGTATAACTTGAGCGTGCGTCTGACACCTAACCAGAACATCATATTGTGTGACATCCGGCGTGCCTGGAAGCGACCTCTCACCACAGCTCTTGCACAAGCTGGCTTGCTGGTAATTTTCTTTTGGTGTTGCTATAGCAACTCGACAGAGCTATTATGGAGAAGATTCTTTGATAGGACTGGCCGGTTAAGACCGGGAACAGGTGGCCCAACTGGTTGGTTTGGGGTCCCAAACCAGGGGGAGCATTGAACCAGCATCGAATCCGAGAGTATCCTGTTTGATTCTTGGACTGGGCAGTTCAACTGTCCAGACTGAACAAGCAACTGGTCAAAACCAGTCAAAATCCAAACTGAACTGGCCGATTAGGCCAGTTGAAGTTTGAAGCCATGTGAATTGGTCGGTTCAGACGGGTTTCAACCAAAATTTTTATTTAGTTTTTATCTTTTTTGTTTTGTATATTTCAGATGGTCTGAACAGTGAACCGGTTGGTTTAACCTGTTTGGTCGGGACAGATCCCCTCACCAGTTGAATGACCTGTCTGGTCCTAATAACACTGCTTTTTTTTTTTGACATGGTTACATAGCGATGGAACTTGAGACCTATGAAAACCTAACCTCTACCATCTTGACGCAAGTCCGTTTCCTTCCTAATAGCACTGCTTTTATCATGCTTTAGTTGGTATCATGAATTTGGCTTAATATTATTTACTTAATTTGGTAGTTTGATTGATTGTTTGTGTGTGTGTGCATGAGAGAGAGAGAGAGAGAGAGAGAGAGAGAGAGAGAGAGAGAGAGAGAGAGAGTAGTA